AGGGTATATGGTGTATGGTTAGGGTTCAGGGTCGTGGGATTTAAGGCTTAGGCGTTGGGGTTTAGGGCTTCGGCTTGCTTAAGAATATAGGGGCCTTGATAATTACCTACATGATTTTTGGGGGTTCCTTACTATAGGTATAGTATAATGGGCCCCCAAAACCCTAGTCTAATTATTACGGCCTCTATAGTACCTCTTATCAACCTCAGGGTCATCTCCTCGTCTCGTTCCGGATCCATGCCCTTATCCGCCTGCTTTCGAGCCAGCCGTTCCTCCAGCAGAGTTCTTTGGAGGCCATGAGAATACAAGCATGATAAGGACACTCCATATAGGACCAGTGTTGATCATTTTTCAGGCTTGTGTATCGGTAGTTCTCTAAATTAGGGTACCCTTTTAGGTNNGGTTTAGGGTTCAGGGTTCAGGTTGTCCAGGAACGTGCTTCCGAGTTCATGGCTTGCATTGAAGCTTCCGGCGGCGTTTCAGATGAGCGTATGTTCAAGCCTGGCGGCGTTTAAACCAAATGTCTGAGGGGTACGTTGCAGGGCTGTGGAGCCTTCCTTTGGTGGGTTCCAGAAATCCGGACCCCCCCCCCCCCCCACCCAAAAAAAGGCTACATACACCCCAGCATGCAGACTTCGAGTTTCGTGGTGCCGGCGCCTAAGCTCAGCGAGCGTGGTTAGGGTTTGGGGTCCAGGGTGCTGGCGTTTAAGATTGATGGCGTTTTCGGGTGTTTGAATCATTGAAAAATGCTGCAGATGCTGACGGAAGGACCCATCCCCCTAGTGCAGGAGCCTGAGTATGAAACCAATTGGATGATGGTGGATGTCGTTGGTCCTTTTGCTATACATAGTAGAACACTGCAACATCAACGACATTCAAAGACTACTTGTGAACAGCATGGCTGTGAGAACTGTCAAAACTCGCCCAACACTGAAAGATGACAGTAGCACCAGTCCCAACAGCATTATCCATCATCATGACAATAATTGCTCCAATGGAAACTACAATGATATCATATACTAAAGCCATGACCATTACGATGGTGACTCCGCACACCGAGAAAACGGAGGACGGCTGTCACAAGCAAAATAAAAGATACTTCGTGAGCTCCTGGCCCAAGAACGCACATGAGTTTCTTAGGAACCCTAAACCTACACCCTGAACCCNNCCCTAAACCCTAAACCGTAAACGCTGGAAAGGGAAGCGCTTCCTAAGTTGTTCCTATTCGTCTCCTGCATAGAAGGCTAGAAAAGGTCATAATGTAGGGGCCGTTATAATTAGAATAGGGTTCCTTTAAAGGAGTCTTTAAAGGGTTCTGCAAGGGTTAGTATAAGAGCTACTATAAGGGTGTAGTGTCGGGGCCTCAATAATTAGAATAAGGGTTTTGGGGCATTTTGTACTATGATTATTATAAGGAACCCCCCAAAAAAGTATTGGTAATTATCAAGGCCCCCTGACTCTAAGCCACAAACCCGAGCCACAAACTTTACGTCCCACGGCCCCACATCCTAAAATAAATCCAAAAACCACACAAACCCTAAACCCTAAACCTTAAGGCTCTAAGACTCTAAGACCCCCATGGAGCCTTTGAGTCAACCCCTGAAAAGCCCGTTGTGCTGATGGGCCACGACTATCCCAAACCCTCATTTAAAAACCTGATCCGCATTGACTTTGGAGCTCTAAATCTGATGTCCGACCAAACTCCTGAAGCCCAGAGCCTAAAACCACCGAAACACTGCATTGGAAAGGAGCCGCCTTGGCTTCGTCGATTTCGCGCTTCTTGCCATTAGCCACCATCTCGGCGTCAAGAACTACATACGGGCCTTACGGGGTCAACGAAAATTCGGTAACTATAGTTGCGGCTACTTCCAGCTAGAATGCTTACACCCAGGTTGGCTTACGAAACCCTAAACCCTAAACCCTAAACCCTAAACCCTAAACCCATGGTCTACTTCAGCTTCTACCCAGATTGGCTTGCGGAAGTGCCAAGGACAGCTTTAGCTTTATGCAAGTTGGACCCTCACGCTTAGGGCTTCAGGAGACTTGAAATCCATGCTTATAGGGTTTATATAGGATGCGGGGGTTGGGTCCTTGGTTTGGGGCGCTAGGTGTCCAGACCTTCCAATATCCCTCACTTAAGGAGAATACTTTGCAAGAATCTTCCTTGATTTGAGGGATATTGGAAGGTCGGGGAAGAAGGGGCGGAGACAACGTGATTCAGTGATTTAGGGCTTGGGAACGGTGCCGAGAGAAATAAACACGGATCCAGTTGCTTCGAAGAAAGCGGGTCGTCCCGGCACCCCTGAGGTTGTCATTAGAGAAATGGACAGCTCTTAAAGTGCCTGAGAGACTAGGTTGAACCTTGTAGAAGGATGCAGATCGGGACAGCGATGCGGGCCATACCAACGTTTCCATACCTAGTATCTACATGGTTTATCTCTCACTTCAGGCCGTCCAGATCAAAGCCCTAGCCGAGCCAATATTCAAAAGCTGGGCGAACTGCACAAGCTGCAGCATCACCATCGTTCGAACCATATGGGGCCTAATGTAGGTTTGCCAACCTTCCAACAAGCTAGAAACCGACAGGAAGCCATGCAATTTTTTAAAACAAGTAAAACCCTAAACCCTAAACCCTGAACCCTAAACCCTAAACCCTACACCCTAAACCCTACACCCTGAACCCTAAACCCTGAACCCCAAACACTAGCTTGCTGCCGGCATGCCAGAGCATCTTTCATCTCGGACCTCTTTTCCCGGAGCTCCTGCAAGGTAATCAAGGTTCCCATGTACTTAGGGTTTAGGGTTTAGGGTTTGGGGTTTAGGGTATTTTTTAAACAATAGGGTTTAGGGTTTTGTTAATATGGGCGCCTTAATAATTAGAATAGGATTTTTGGGGCCCATTATACTAGATTCTTAATAAGGAACCCCCAAAATAAGATTGGCAATTAGTTAGGGCCCTATATTACGTGGCTTAGGGTTCAGGGTATAGGGAGTACTTTAAGGCAACTTGTACAGTATATACAATATGGATACCATGGGCCCTTGAGGTCATTGGGCATCGCATCTTCGGGCTTGGGGGTTGGAGCTGAGCCCTACACTTGCCCTCTTACCCTAAACCCTAAACCCTAAACCCTAAACCCTAAAACCCTAAACCCTAAACCCTAAACCCTTGCTTTCTGTTCTCCCTCTAAAGCCGAAACCTTTGGTTGGAAGGCACACGCGTCAAGATTCAATGAACAAGATTGCACGGGAAATAGACCCGTGTGGGTTCTATCGCAGAGGCATTTCACAAAATTTGCCGACTTATGGCCATGGGATTGAGGGTTTATAACATAAACATCCAAGACACAACCAAGCTAAACTTTTGTAGCCAGCAAAACCCCCAAGCTACCCACCAAAGCAAGGCCTGAGCATAAACTATGTGTTTCGGCCTTGACCCGGACATAGAACCCCAAACTGGCAAACCGTTTCAAGACATTGAGGCTTGCAGTCTAAGTAAAATTGTTATTATGTATAATCATAACATTATTGTAATTATTATTACTATTCGTATTGTTACTAACAGTATTAATCGGCACAAAGACTGATGGACCTGCGGCTTCGATTTTTCTATGTGCTGAAACCCTATGGCTTTGCAGCTGGGAAAAGGTCTCCTGTTTGTTCTTTTCGAAGGCATCTTCGAAGACCTCCCAGCGCTGAGGAGTTTGGTATAAGGTTTAGGGTTTAGGGGTTAGGGTTTAGGGTTTGGGAGTTTAGGGTTTAGGGTTTAGGGCTTAGGGGAGCTGCAAGCAAGTAGGCAAATCGCAAACAGTTAATTTTCGGTGTGACGGACGCCAAACCTCCAGGCCTAAACCCTAAACCCTGCACCCCAAATCTAAGGCCCTTTGAATTACACCCTGAGACTCCGCCCTTGTTTTGGGGAAAACCACACTGGCAAGCCTAGCAAAAGGCGTCCTGGGTTGGCTTTGTTGCTCAACAGAACTAGCGCAACAGCCCCCAGCAAACCCACCACACCCACACCCCCAACGCATCCAACCCCCTCCCTCCCCTGTCGCTGCCTCCGTCTCTCCGTCCCTCCGTTCTCTCTTAGAATGGGGGTGGGTGGGTGGGTGGGTGTGGGGGTGGGGGTGGGGGTGGGTGGGTGTGTGGGTGGGTGTGTGGGTGGGTGTGTGGGTGTGTGCGTGCGTGTGGGTGCCTGTCTGTGTGTGTGTGTGTGTGATTGTGTGTCTCTGTCTCTGTCTCTGTCTGTCTCCATCTGTGTCTGTCTCTCTGTCTGCATATGTCTGTCTGTCTGTCTCTGTGCGTGTGTTTGCGTGTGCGTGTGTGCGTGTTTGTCTGTCTGTCTGTCTGTCTGTCTGTCTGTCTGTCCGTCGGTCTGTCTGTTTGTCTTTGTCTGTGTCTGTGTCTGTGTCTGTTTGTGTCATTGTGTGCGTACAGGCAGGTATGCAGGCAGGCAGGTAGGCAGGTGGACAGGCAGGTTATTAATATTATTAGTCATACGTATGTCACACGTTACGGCACTGCACGGCACACCATGGCACGGTAGCTAGAGAACAAATGCTCTCATCTCATTCTGAGCCACCCTTGACACCACCTAACCTCACAACTATCCATGAACCTCTAGACTCCAAGTCTTTCCATCCTCTTCCAACCCATATCAAGCCAACGACAAAGCCAAATGGCACGAAGATGTGGGGTTCTGGAGCCGATCGGCCAGCCCTGCATCCGTTGGTGAGCTTTGTAGCGATGTTTGGGGAGATCCTGTCCCGGGAGCTGTAGAAACAATGCCGAGGTACTAGCCGGGAGCTGCTGCTACCCGAGATCTCCCAAGTCCCGGCCTTCACTCACTTGCTGAGCCTTTTCCTGCAGCTTTTTAACTTAACGCCTATAGACCTTAGGGCCTGAGCCCTGACTTCCTTTCGCGGGGTCACGAATCTCGGTAGGTTTGGACATCTCATGATCGCCACACACATCTTGAAGATTCTTGAAGTGTATATAAGGATCTTCACGCAGTCTTACCTGGTGGAACAGACCACGCCAGCTTTCCTTGTGCTGTCTGACTCGATCTCCATGGTCTCGGACATTGCCGCAACCTCAGATGCAGTCACGAACCATCGTGTGGCCTGTAGTCAGCTTCGGAAACAGGTGTTCGAAGACCTGGATCTTGACTTCAGTGACCTGGGCTCCAACATTACGTGGATGGAGCCAGGCGTCTACCAGCAGGCCGAGCTTTGCTGCCGCGACCCATGCCGATTTCTCGGGAACAGATTGTATTGAGTCGAAGTCTCGCAGCATGGACTTTTGACACCTGCAATGCGGTTCTATCGATTATCAAATGTGACAACGCATCCGAAGATCTTGGGTTGCGGTGGGACAAGAATAATTACGAGGATTTCTTGCGGAGTAGTTGTATTGTAACGCCTGCATTCGTGCTCGAAGACTGCTTGCCGTGCTCTGGCATCGAGAGACAGAAGATTCATGTCACAACTCGGGCTGCACTTGTAGAAGTCGCTTGTAGTGGTTCGTGCTTAGATCTCAAACGGCCCGGAACCAAGAGACTCTATTGAACCTGCAAGCCTAATTCCGGAAATCGAAGAGCCTCCTGCGTTCCGCGAGCCCCTTTGCGCGACTGCTTTCGGACATTTTGGGACCCTTGAAATCAGGAGGGCCCTCGATATTGAGAGGTCACGGAGTACTACGTCTACCTGGCAGATGGTTCGATGCCCTTGAAAAGCTTGGGCGATAATGGTCACCTTCCGTGGTCAGGCACCATCGGCAGATTCTGTAAACCTGGGTTAACTTCGGCAGCAATCCTGACGTTGGTCGCGAGACCGCTCTCAGCTGCGCAGCCTCTTCAATCATGGGTTCGAAGTAGATCCATGTAGCTCCCAAATAAATGAGCCATCACGACCAACTAGGGCCTGTAGACATCTCAACAAAATTTCCGAGAGCGCGGGAATGAACCAAGAAGAAGTGACTTGTGCCAGAGCTTCAGGCATCATGTATGCCGGTATTACTGAAAGCTCCTTGAGATATGTAGAGCAAGTGACTTGTTTGGGTTGGAAGGGGTCTTCGGCGCAGGTTTCGGGACAGCGCACAGGAAGGGATGAGTTGGGGAATTTTCCTTGCATGGAGGAAGCCTGCACTGAGCCAAGTTCTTGAGCTCTGCTTTCTCTCGGCTCGCTGTCCCTAGGCACAAAGCCTTTGCTTCAGGACGTTCACAGCTTGGCGTGGTTCCGGTGGGTACCGACCTGCTGTTCGTGCCTCCCGACACACCCCGGACCGCGTGGCTGGGTGAGGGTTTGGCCAGTGACTTCAGTTGGGCTCTTAGCTTGAACACCTGCCTCTGCCAGAACCCTTCACGCGGAAGCCCAATGATGCCCAATGCCCTGCGACACAAGTGTGACCGTCGATAAATGATGGCCTCTTTCGCAGACCGTTCGTTGGAACTTCGGACCCTGGCGGGTTTCGGGCATTGGGTGGTGATGTCGCTAACGGGGCAGGAATGGCTACAGCCACGTGGCGCGCTGAGTGCTGCAAGGGCGTGACAGAAGCTTGCGAAAAGCTGCAATTTGTGTTCCACTTATCTGGCGATGAGCATGAGCCTGCGAATCATCGACGAGAGTTGTACAAGACTTGCGGTGCGATGTCATCTCAAGAGACGTGCAGCAACACGCACGATGGTATTTCCTGACCAAGGTTGTGATCTATGCGTCTTCTGCTTTGGTCGAGCTGCTTGTCCGATAAACGGTGATCATATCTGCGGTGTAAGTAGACCTATGCCACAACCAATATATCCAAACTTGGGGGTCCTCTTCGGATCTCTTCGGGGTCTCGTCAAGTCAGCTCGTGTCGCAGCCGAATCAGGCAAACCTGTCCTGCCCTCGTTACATCGAGCATCAATGCCCTTGGCCTGGCCCCTCCCGAAGCTGAGGCAAACCACGCCGCAGTATCACGTAATCCACGATGCGAATGCCAGCGTCTCGAATGTTGACTTTGTTGGCAAAGATCTGGATTTGGAGGTCCGTTCTGCTCTCGGGACTTTGAGTTCTTTAGTCAAAGCCTTGGGAGGACCTTGGCGGCGTGGTGAGTTGGACTGCACCTGGCTCCGATTGGGATCGAGTGGCTTGACTCCATCTCCTACGTCCGGCTCGGAATTCGAGATCGTACATGCATGATCATACGCTATCACTCGTGTATACGTGTGCGTAATCTTCTGTGTACCCCCGCCTGCGCCCGCCACGCCCGCACGCACGCCTGCGCGCCCGCACGCACGCCCGCGCACACGAAGAGCAATCGTCTTGCTTGAGTCGTCCGCATGCTGCCATAGCAGCGGCTGCCGTGATGGCTCGAAAATCATGTGGAACCATAAAGAGATGTTGTGCAACTGACCTCAACCTGAGGGGTATGTTCGTCTGCAACCATTCGTGTGAAGTTTTTTCGCGTCTTTTCGCCGCAGCTACGGCGGCACACACAAGTGACAAGGTAAATTTTGAAATTTTAAATGGGTTTCCGAAACGAGGGCGAGCCATGACTTGAAATCCACATGCCGAAGATCAGGTGTTGGCCTATGTGGTTTATCTGTCCCTCGACGACATCGGGACGAATCGGTCGCAGATCGAGCAGGAGTGTCACGGAGTGGTGTCATATGCATTTGGGATGGTTTGGGGTTGCTTCCATGCTGCCAAAGCCTGTAACAGCTCAAGCTTCGAAGTTTTGCGAATCGCGAAGGCCAGCTCAGCTGCATAATCCCAGCCTGCACCCCTGTTACCGATGTCTGTTCAAGGCTGAAGCAGCTTGAGCTACGAGAGTTTGTGTTTAGCACACCGGCCTTTCAGTTGGTCAAGGCAAGACTGAACTTGGGCTGTCTCGTATAACTACGGTCCTGAGCTCTGCACAAGGCTTGCATGATTTGGAGATCATTTGATTTGGGTGTTCAGTCTTTTTGTTTGATCCAAGCAGGCATCAGTGCAAGCAAATCTTGGGGCCGCCTATGGTGTTTCAACTTTCCTGGACGGCCAAATCCCACAACTTCGACAATAACGTGATAAGGGGACGATGGCCGACGAATTTCAATCTCTGAAGTTCAGTCGGACCAGAAAATTCCTCAGCGAGTGTTTGTGATAACGGTCCATGGACCCGCAGCACATCCCAAGCACCAGGACGTTCCGTTCGGGACAAACATGCTCCTGACACCTGCAGAAACGCCTCGCAATGCCTATACGCGCTTCGTGGTGTATACCAAGAGCCCAAGCTGAAGTTGGACTGGCAAAGGCAAGTGTTCCCTGCATCGTCTGAGTGCATACATTCGATGATTGCGCATTGAACGGATGTATTCGGAGTATTGTAACGAGTGTAACGATCGGGGCAAGCATTGCTGACCAGAATCTTGTTACTCCCTCTTTAGATCCCTGCGTTTCCAGCTTGTGGTGCACTTCCTCTAATGGTGTGTCTCGAGTCGAGAGTCAAGCGACTCGTGTTTTCAGCGCCCGTCCCTGAATCAGCAACTCCCCAGGTCAGTTCTCGCGGAGCAGACCACTCCAACTGCGCACAGCCTTTTCGACACTAGCGCTCTGCCTCAAAATCTGGATTTCCTAGACATCGATGTGGACCGCGGGGAACTCGCTGGCAACCTCACTTGGGATCCGCCAACCGACGAGTTCCATGCTCCCTGCCAGAATTTCGGGATATTTCGGGCGTAGTGTTTGGGCTCGCAACCTGGGCAAGCCTTGAACCGCTTCTCGGTTCCCGGTGAGATCTGTAAGAACAAACACACCCTGACATCCTGCTTCGTGTTCGGCAGGTTATCCGGTACAACGTCTATTTGTCTGAGAATGCTTATGGTCACGGCCGCCAATACTTGGGAAACGTTTCTGTGGGCATCTACGAGCCCCTTCTCTTAGTTAGCTTCAGCGTGCTCCGTGCCTGGGATGATACGCTGGAGCAAGATAGCCTGAAATTCCACAACTGCTAAGTGTCGAACCTAGTGATGCAGCTCCTCGGAAAAACCTTCTACATCCTGTTACAATAAGCCCAGGTTCTTCATCCCGTTGGACACACCGTTGCACAATCACACACATCTTTTGGTGCGGCCCGTCTGCATCGATGATGCGAGTTTAAGCGGATCGCGACATCACTACGAGCATTAAGTTATTGGAGACGACAAGACAGAGGCATGAGATATTGTGATTGTGTCTGCTCAGTGAGTGGAAATGCGAAGTCATCATGTTACCCAGCAGACAATCATGTCACAGGAGTCGACAGTCTACATAACTCTCATTCTCGCGCTTCGTGGCTTGCCAGGTATTCGGAGTCAACACTCGCCGAGATGACGACTCCAGCTGCCCTCGAACTTATAGATTCAATTGCAATTGTGGAGAACATCACGCTCTTCGATCGGGACCTTCATTGTGTCGGAAAATCCTCAAATCATACGGTCCAAAGAGCCCGATACTAATGGTCCTATTGCGGAGCCCTGAAATTATGCAGGTTCAACCCGCTGACAGCATAGCATGCCCTCGGCTGCCTTGGTTCCCCGACCCAGGGTTACGTCAGCAACAGCAGTCGCACAAGAACCTTTCGAAAAACTCCTAAATGGTGTTCTCTTGTGGGGGTCTTGATGGTGTGGCCTTCGTCACAGGATCTTGACGAATTCGAGGTCGGCGGGGAGATCACCTGGGACCCTCCTCCGGACGAACGGATCGTGGATGTGTTGCTTTGCCAAGAGATCTTCGCAAGTGAGGGGTTTGGGCGAGGGTTCAGGGCCGTTCAGCTTCAGAGCTGCCCTGGCCTGAAAATCCTGTCGTGCTTCATACAAGGTCAAGACAGGACCAAAGCTTGCAGTCCTGACATTCAAAGCACACCGAGGTATCGTGTCTTCTTCCAGAGCGACAGAGCTGGAACGGTAAAATTCCAGCTGGACAGCGACAAGCCCCGAGGACTTGGCTGCAGCGGCTTCGGGACATGTCGCTGCATTGGAGAGAACATACTGACTAGGGTCTAGAGGAGCAAGTTGGGGTCAGTCACGTAAAGCAGATTCGGGCATTGCGCTGTGAACACTTGTTTGCGTTCAAGCCCGCCGGACTCTCAGTACACCATGGACTATCCAACATACTTGCTTTGGAGTCTGGTGGTGCCTTAGTTCGCCTTTGCACAAGATTATAATTTGAACATGGGTCGTCTTCGGGATGAGATGCAGAACCCCAGCTGCTGTTTCAGGCGGGCTAGCAGCGGCTAGCAGACTGCTAGAACAGAACATAAGGACTTCCTTCTAGAGCCCTTTTTGAAGCCAGTTTATGATGACCGTTCTGTCCCCGGCGAAAGAGACACGAGGAGGTGACATGTCGTTGCCTGCCGAATCCGGCGCTCCCTCCACTTGCACCCTTGCCTCTACCGGTGCTACAACTAGCACTACTGCTATTGCTGCTGCTGCTCGTGCTACTGCTACTACACTACTACTATTGCACTACTGCTACTTCTTCTTCTTCTACTACGACTACT